GGTGGAGGGGGAGAGACCCTGGATGACCAAAGAGCCCTTCAGATCGCCCTGGATCAGCTCTCCCTGCTGGGGCTGGACAACGACGAGACGGGCTCCATTTACGACAGCGAGCCTCGGAAGAAGAGCGTGAACATGACTGAATGCGTCCCGGTGCCCAGCTCGGAGCATGTCGCTGAGATAGTGGGGAGACAAGGTGGGTGACTGCATCTCTCCCTGCTGGGGCTGGACAACGACGAGACGGGCTCCATTTACGACAGCGAGCCTCGGAAAAAGAGCGTGAACATGACTGAATGCGTCCCGGTGCCCAGCTCGGAGCATGTCGCTGAGATAGTGGGGAGACAAGGTGGGTGACTGCATGCGAGGGGGTGTGGGTGAGCGGGTCTCCCCTCCGCGCTGCCGGGCGTGCGGCTCAGATGCGACACTGGCCATTCCCATGAAAACTGCAAGCCCTACCGTGGTGGCCAGTGCCGGCTTCCCCCAGACAAAGAAAGTGCAGCAGACGTGATGTTTCCGAGGAGCGTTATGCATCGGTTTCGAGATGCACTTTCAGCTGCCGGGAGGGGGGGAAAAAAAAAAAAAAAAATCACGAAAATAATAAAAAATCGCTCCTTTCCCCCGGCTGCAAAAGTTAGATTTGCAAGAGGAAACGGGAAGAAAATGGGAGCCTCGGTGCCTTCCCCCCCCCCGAAGTTAGAAATCGTGGATTATTTTTAAGGAAGAGAAATGGAGTGGGGAAGTGGAACAATGGGATTGGAATAAAGCATCCGCAGTGGGGAGTGTGGCTCATTCGGTACAGCCGCTGCTCCTCACCTTCCTAAGAACCGATTTTATTTTTCCGAAAGGAAAGCGCTGAGCAGGAATGTGGACTGGCGGGTGTGTTGATTTGTTAGGGCTGCTTGCATTTTATTTTATTTTTTTTCTGGCCGTGCAGTTTTTCTGCACGCTCCTTTTTTTTGTTGCCGTTCCTGTGAACTGCACGCTGGTAGTTTTGGGGCAGTTTTGCATGGCAGATGTGTCGGTGGCCGCTTGCGATGCCCTTGGGTGTGTGCCAGGGCTGTGGGCTGACGTG